AGAAGTGCTTTTTTTTTAGAGCGAAGTGGATTCTTCTTGGCTTTTTTTTCCCCCCCCTTTTTTTCCCCCCTTCTCCATTAAAAGCCGAGAAAACCAATCTCTTATTTATAAACCTGCCGGGACTTGACTGTCGCGATGTACAACACGGTGTGGGATATGGACCGCGATGACACGGACTGGAGGGAAGTGATGATGCCCTATTCCACTGAGCTGATATTTTACATTGAAATGGACCCTCCAGGTAGGGAGCCGAAGCCTGTGCACCCCTCGCAGCGGGTCGGGGCTGCCTTTCATTCCTGCCTTCTCTTCCCTGCCCGTCCTCCCTCCTTCTTGCAGACTTTTCCTGTTTGAAAAAGGAGGGGGAATCTGCAGAGGGGGAGGAAAAAAAAAAATCTGTAGTTCAGCTTTGTGTAAACTTTTCAGGGACTTGAACCTGTTGTCTCCTGGGCAAAAGTATTTTAATACTGTTTTTGGGGGAGGTGGGAGGATAACTGCAATTTGTGGTGCCTTTTGGGAGGTGGAAGGAGGCAGGAGGAGAGCTGCTTGCAGCCCCTCTCCCGAGTCTCCTTTTTTTAAGCCTTTATTGAAAACCGTATATTTTGGCTGTATTCACTTCTAGAGGAGCGTTTTTATTAGCCTCTTCACCTGTGTGCCTTTATGTGCCTGTAACACTTTGATGGTAGTGATTTACCTACCTCCATTCAGTTCCAGTTTAATCGCTTTTACAGTCTCTGAGACCCTTTTCTCGCCAGCTCTATTCCAGCATTGACAGATGAGGTGTGTGTTGTCGCTGGGTTTTGGTGCTGGGGGGGATAATACTTGGGAACAGGCTAGAATCCATCCCTGGAGGCACCATTACTTTGATAATGCTGAATAACCTTGTTCAAAAGGCTTTGATGCAACTTTTTTTTTTCCCCCTATGGATTGCCAGTGCTGAAAATGAAGAAATGTGTTTTCCCTTTGCTTGCCTGAAGTTTTTAGATGGTACAGAAAGTTTCTTTCATATCTGAAGAGTGAGGGAAGGCTCACAAAGAGAAGAGGTTGAGTCTTTCTTTGGTAATGAATTAAAGTAAGCATAAATGGGTACTGGTGAAACCGTATCTATACCTCTAAGAGTCTAACAGGCTGAGAGAGCAGTAAGGTAATTGAAGGGCCTTTATGTTCTCAGGTCTCTGATCTGTACAGCCAGAAGGTACAGTAAAATATGCATCAAAAATCTTAGCCTGCAATTGATAGCAAATAAGTGCTTCTAAGTGATATCTTCTGTGTGGCATGTACTGTTAGACTTTTGAAATGCACTTTTCAGTCTCTGCTTGAATTGTGGCTTGTATCTCCAAGTGTGGTTTAGTCTCTTTGTTTCAGCACAGTGAGCTCTTTTTTTCCTCCCCTTAGGTATGTGGTGGTACTTAATTAAGGAGGTGATCATCCTGAGATTTTCGGATCTCAAGGACCTGTACTCACTTCCTCTGGTAACTCTGATGGTTTAAAAATGGGACAGATCTCTCAGACACACAATATTGGCCACTGCTCATTAAATTCTTGCTTAGCTGATACTACCTATTTTTAGGTGTTACTCACGAAAGCATGAAGTTCAGTCAAATCTATCTGCTTCTGTGAATTCTGGACAGCATCTTTCTTGTAAATGTTTTTGATTTTAACTGTTCATGAGCTTAGTATTTGTATTTGCTTGTATCAAGCAACAAAACCCCAAGTTCCATTGTAGGTGGCTTAAAACAATTGTGTGGGGTTTTTCATTAAAAAAAATAAAGCCCCTTGAATGGCTTAGTGCATGGAGGCTGTTAAAAAGAGGCTGGCCTAACTGAACTGGTCAGAAAACAACTTTGCGATATTTCTGCAGTAATTCAGCCATGCAGCCTTACAAAGTTTACATTAAGAAGCTGTGCTTCTGTCATCAATAATGCCAATATTTCCATCATTGAAGCCCTATTGCCAGGGATCAAGGCTCTGCGTAGTCCAAACGCCAGTTAGCAAAAGGACTTAATATTACACGCTGATCCCTGAAGTGCTCAGGAACTTAACCTTTCATATTTTTAAACTAGAAAAGCCAGAGCTGGAAACGACGCATGGGATGATCCCCATGTGTATGTCCTGATTTCCTAGAACTATAACTTTTAAATTGCAGGAGGAGGGAGGGAGAGTGTGGCTTGCTTTTTCCTCATCCAGAGGTGGGGTGAGAAAGCATTTTCTGGTCTGGGATGATAGGTCATCCCTAAGGGCAGTGTGGAGGAATTTATTTGGAAGACTTAAACACTGAGCATGCCTTGAGATAAAGTCACTGCGTTTGCACCCAGTAACAACCACAACTTCATTTGGCCCGCTTCCAACAAAAATTTGTGAAAGTTTTCAGTGTAGCATTCCCCCGCGCGGTGGCTGGAGTGCCTGAGCAGCTGAATGGTGGCAATATGTTTTCTCAGCAGCGCACAAACTAACAATATGCAGCGAGTGTCCCCGCTGCCAAAGGAGGCAGCACGGTCTTTTGTTCACAGAACTTGCGTGAAGAGATCCCTGGTTGGTCTTTATACCGGGAGCCAAGTGTCTCAAATCATGCAAGACTACTCATGATATTACATTTTAGTATGTCTAAACTTCAGGCAGAAGACAAAAGCAAGGTGAACATAATGTGTGGTGTCACCAGTAACCTCTAAGTCAAGGGTGGGGATACTGTTTCTTGTTAAGGGCCAGTAGACCTTTAATTTATCTTGGCAGGCTGTCTCAATATCCACCTTAGCGTTGCCCAGTAATAACGCAGAAATAAAATCTGTGATGGCATGCAGCCTGCAGCACAGCCGTAGCTTCTGTCAGCCCTCAGTGCACCTGCACCAGCTTATCACTGTGCTTGTGTTTTCTGTCTGGGCTTGTAGGTGTAAATGGATGCTCAGAGCAGGTCCTGAAGCCTCTCTGCTAGAAAGCTTGGTCAAAAGTTCAAAAAATAATAATGAAGGTGATGCTTCTCTCATGCAGGAGGGTTTTTTTCCAGCAGAGGCAGGGTCAGGCAACAAGGGATTGCTACCTTTGACTCCATCCCTAAATATAAGAGCGGGACAGTTTTCCTAAATAGGGCGGTGGAACTAGGGATTCAGTTCCGCTAGCCTTGCAAAGCGAGCCTTACAGCAGTACTGCTAGCACAGGAGCAGCAGTGGTGACAACCAGCAGGGTGACTCCTGTTACCTAATGCTTTTTCCTTCTGCTTGCATGGCTTTTGGCATAATAAAATCTATCACTGGCATAAGGTAGGATCTGTATGTGGCAAATAATACTGGGTGCAACTAAATCACTCAAGACAAAACTGGAACTATCAGTTGCATATAGCTAACACAGTAGCTTCTAAACTTTCTGATCAGGGTTAATTTAGAGTATTATGGCCATAGCAGCATCATATACTGGTTCTGGCATTAGGAAACTGGCTGTCAGGGATTCACTTGCATGTTTGTTCTTGCTGTGGGTTTTGTGTCTGAAAAGACAAGGAAATAGAATACTGGATTGAATTTAGTTTTTCTTTAATGACATCTGTTCTGATGTGCAAAAAAGTTATTACTGCTGTAAGTTAAGTTTTTGAACAGAGGACGTTGAATTGACTTCAAAAGTTACCAGAGTACTTAAAGCATAACAACCTATGTATTACCTCGCTCCTAGTAAGTAGGACTAAGTAATGTCTTTCCCTCTGTAGATCTGAGATATATTATCAGTTGTGTTGATGATAAAATGTGTAATCACTGAATACATTTTGTCACAGTTGGATGAAAATCAGTAAGAGTGTTCCGCTGGGATTTCAGACACAGATGTCAGCAAAGATATTTGGCTCAACTACAAATTAGAGGTTAGTTTCATTTGTGTGGGTTATGAAGAAAACCACAAGTTTAAAGTAAGCTTACTAATGCAGAATGGGCTCTGTCTATTTATGAGCAGATAATAGAGTAAGTGTTTGTCCTAAAGCTACGTGAAAGCTACCTCTTGGAAGCCTGTTAGGCCCAAATATGACCGACTACATTTAGAACTTGATCCAACTGTCTTTTTTTGAGAATATTACTCTTCCTTGCCTCGTGTGCTGAGACCGGCTGTAACAATGCTACTGTTACAAAATGTTTTAATAATGGGGGGGGGCAGCAGCAAGAAACTATAGGCCGCTTAGTTTAGTCTACTTTGCAAAAGCAGCACTCCCTTTGAATGAGACAACTATTCAAGGGAAAAAGTGCATTTATTCATTATAGTTTCTATTTTCTTCTCATATATAATTTGACAACCCTTGTTTTAAGGGAATGATACTATAATTGTAATTGGGAAAACATAGGGTTCTGATCTCAAGGGCAGTGTTTACTCGGATATCAGTCGTGCTGTATCATTATCAATGTTATAGTGGAAACTGAATGTGGCTTCTCAGATGGGGTTTGTGGTATGCGGTAGCCAGATGTAGGTGAACGCTGCGTGTCTACGCCTGACTAGTTTTCCAGTGGGAGAACAGATGCAAATTTTAATAGCATTGTCAGTATTGTCCTTCAGCTTATCTGAACTGACTCCAGAAGCTTATCAAAGAAAGGTTTTGCTCTTACACATCTTAAAAAAAAAAAAAAAAAAAAAGTAGTTCTACTAGTGCATGTAATCAAGACAGCAGCACTGTAGCAGCAACTGTCTTTGTTGCAAATTTAAGTCTTGCTGAAACACACGTTTCCAAAAATGCAGATCTTGGGAGTTAAGAGTTTCCTTATTACAGAGGGAAGTTTGTGCAGACTGTTTTGGGGTAGAGCAGGGCATAAATAAGGCTTAGTCACTTTTATTCTGCATCTCCTGGAAAATGGTTTGAATTGTAGTCTCAGCTCCTGTGAGGACAGTGATGTGAATGCTTGTATTCTGGTTTTGTTACACCTAGATTTCTCTACTGGCCTTCGCGTTTAATGACTGCTGTAACCATTTTTTATTTCTGTTTGCAATTTCAAGCTTGCTTTTGCATTCCTTGCATTTGGTTTTCATTTTGATGGCTCTAACTGTTAAAGAATATCACTCATCAGCTTTCAATTAAATACGTGAACACAAAAAATAGCATCATTAATATAAAGTGAAATGATGTTTTGCTTAAGATGGGAGAGCCTGCTTTAGAAAGGCTGACAATTTTATCAGTAGGCTTTCAGAGGATGTAGAAATAGTTGGGGAGGGAAAGCTTGGTGAAGGGAGTTGTTCATCTCTGTGTTCTGTAAAGCTGTAGATTTATGCAAACTAAAACATGGG